ACACACACACACACACACACACACACACACACACACACACACACGCAGGTTGATTCAGGAAGCACGAGTGAAGTCATATGTTTGAGGAGGCCTGCGGTGTAAGTCACTGCATGTGTATCTGGAAATAGACGTCGCGAGACGCCTGAACCAAGGAGTGAGTCAGCCATGTTCAGCCTGCAGCCGTGTTTAATCACTGGGCTCACACGCTGTCTGTCTGTCAGCACAGTTTTCTTCCTCTCCTCCTGCCTTTCATCAGAACCTGTCTTCTCTGTGACTAATCCGCTCAAACAAAACGCTCATTTCCTCAGAGTTTTACTGCAGGAAGTTGTGATAAAATAAGTGTAATCGTGGCGGTATCGGTGCAGCTTCACTGCAGGTGTTCCTGTTTTATCAGCCTCTTTTATCCACGGTTTTACGCATCAAAGAGGTCGATTTCATCATATTTAATGCCTCTTTTTGTGCAACTCAAATGTAATTTAGCAGAAGAATCGGGACGGATGTTGTATTTCTGATCATCAGGTGTAAAGTGGACTTACGCTGGCGAGCGGCAGGTGTCTCCTGCGCGTTTGGGCCTGCCTGGAGAGGAGGGAGCGCGCCGACAGGCGGTAGTGGTTCAGCAGGCAGGTGACCACCACCACCATGACCATCATGACCACCACGATCACCAAGATCTGGACGAACTCCAGCTGGGCTGCAACGCCACAAAAACAGGCTGAGATCAGTCCACGAACAGGACTTATAGTTTTATAAATGTTCAGATTAAACATGTTCTGAGCATCAAAAACACCAGTCAACAATGTGCTTTATTAACTTTTAATAAAAAATTAATATGTTACCATAAATATGTTACAGCCCATTGAAACACAGAAGGGTCATAACAAATTTAAAGAGGACACAAAGACAGACTTTGTTTTATTAATTATTCCGTCTTGTCCTCCAAAAAACCTTCACCGAGGAGTAAAAAAGGAACAAAAACTGTCCTGAAAAACAAAAGAAAGAGGAAAATTAAGGATCTTTGTCTTAAAAATAATTAAAATAATCTAACTAACCAAAAAACACAACTTGAAGTTCAAACAAAAGATTGACCTGGTGAGCCGGCCTAACAAAACTAAAGGTGTGGCAGTGGGCCAACCATTTACAGGGCCGTAACATATTTATTGGGGGGTGGGGGGCAGCTTACCCATCAGAGCCTTTAAATAAAAAAAGTTTTAACTATAAGAAATAACCAATTCTATAAAAACACTTCCTCCTCAAAAAAAACCTACATGAAAAAATACCTAACTATGAAGAAAAACAATCTAGAAAAAGCAAATAAATAAATAAATAAAATGTGCCTGAAGCACATAGAAACAAACAATTTTTACTGTCAGAATAAAACCTGAGCTGCTTTTCTATGAAACGTTTAAAAAAATATTCATTTCCCTTCAATAACATGAACAATAAACACAATAAATAATCAAGAAGCTGTTATTAAGAAGCATAAGAAGTGTTTTTGTAGCTGATTAAGTGAAAATGCAGCTAAACGATACTCAGCTGTGCTTTTTATGCTTTTATCAAACGACCCTTGAACAAGTGATTTGATTCACTTCGCACCAGAATTAAAAANAAAATAAAAAATATATATATATATATTTTCAATCATTTATCAGAACAAGATGGCTGCATCAGCTAATTGACCTTTGCCTCTACAAACAGCTAAATTTTGTGTGGTAGTATCTGAGAGTCATCTTCAACTCATCTCAAGAAGCTGCTGCGAATAAAAATATGCAAAAACATAACTCTTAACAGTCAGCTCTGAAATGCCTTAAAAGCCTTTCAACATTTTTTATTTTATTTAAAGGATTCAAACTAAAAGTTAAGAATAGGAGGAAGTAATCTGACACCCTAGCTTTCAAAATAAAAGCCCCAGGTAGTGTGTGGAAATGTTTACCCCCTGAAATTCTTTAAAAGCCTTTTAACATTTTTTTATTTATTAATTAATTATTTTTGGTAAGGGGATCAAACTAAAGGTAAGAACAAGAGGAAGTTGTCTGACAGCGTAGTTTTCAAAATAAAAGCTCAGTTTAAAGGCAGAAACTGCACCGATTTTGCCCACCAGTGGAACAAAGACTGTTTTAGGGGTGATTTATCAATATTATTGATTGTTGGTTGTTTTTTTTATGAAAGAGGATTAGAGACCCTGCAAAAAAAATAGTTCTGATTTCTCTCAGAATTCTGACTTTATCCTGACTTTTCTGAGAAAAAAGTCAGAATTCTAAGATTAAAGTATGACTTCTGATTTTTACTCTCAGAATTAGGAAAAAGTTGTAATTCTGAGAAAAAAAGTCAGAATTCTTTCCTCCCCCGTGGCCTTAATCCTCTTTTATAGTTTTTACATTTAAAGATTCATTTTTATCCTTTAGTTGTTTTTAATGTAAAAAGAAAACAATGTTTTTGTTATGTAACAAATTGTAGATTTAGTCCTTAAAGAACTGAAAAATGAAGATTCGTCAGATTTTATTTTGACACACTAACATTAAAATAAACGTTTGGCTTCTTTTCTTTAAAACTAACGTCTGAATGTGCAGTTTGATCAGATTTCTCTCCGGTTCTTTTCATCAGGAAGACGAGAACAGAAAGTTGTTGGAAGAGTTCGTCTCTGCGTCACGACAGCCTGCTGATCCTGCCCTCCCTCTGCGCTGCTGTCTAGACAGGAGGAGGCTGGAAGCCTGCAGGCGGCCAGACACTGCATGGTTAATCTGAAGCAATTAGCTCATTTGTCATCCGCTGCCTGCCCTCCGTCTATCTGCCTCCATCTCCTCCTCCTGCAGTCAGCAAAAGGTCGCAGGCGCTCGAGTCAGATGGCTCAGAGAGAGAGAGAGAGAGAGAGAG